CAGCAAGAAAATGTAAATGTTTTTCATGAGTCTAGATTCATACTATCAAAATATCCTAAATCAAGTTTCTGAAACCTGAAAGGGAGTTTTGAGCTTTTGCAGCCCAAGCTGTATCTGCTTATCCGCCCTCTGAAGAGTGGCTGACAGGGTGTCTCAGATGGATGGAAAACATTCCATAAGCAACTCCAGAGGGTGTGGTGGCACAGCAGCTTGCAGAGTAGCACAGAAAACACATTGATTCCTCCCGTCTACTGTGTCTCCTATTAGATGCAGTGCACCAGAAATGGCTGCTGTGAGGGTGGGTTAGAAAGTAGAAGGAAACTGGTGGAATACCAAGAAACACTCATTTTTTCCAAGAGATGCTTACTGGTCACTGCTAACACTGTTAAATCACTCACAGTGGGATTTAGCACAGTGCTTTCCTCTAGCTGCATTGGCCAGCGTGTCACGCTGCACACACAGATCTGATCTGTGTTTCAGTGTGAAGAAAGTCCACTATACTTTTGGCTGTAAAAACAGAGCATGCAGAAGTACATCTCTGACTATTTTAAACATCTCTAACACATCCTGTTGCTGTAGTAGCTGAATAACAAGACCACAGTATTTAAAATCTCAGAGGAAAAAATGTCAAGGCCCTTGAAAAATCTTCTGTTTCCTTTTTTTCTTTTTTAACTTACTCACTGAGTGATTTTCTTTTTTCTTGAGTGACTATTTTGAGTGTACACCAACAAGGTATACATTCAATCTGGTATCTTCAGACATACAAGCCACAAAGGAATACATCAGTGACTCTTCTCACAGCTTGTGTATTGATAGGGCGTAGAATCGAGTACAGAAAGTACAGGTTTGTGTCAGACAGATCACATTCGATAACACACAAAGCTGACAAGCAGTATGTTCCCAGTTTACTATAAATTACTCAGACAAATCAAAGCAGCACTAAAATAAGTAATATTTCTGGTCACTTGCACTATAAAGGAAATCAGTTTCTTGGAATTCACAAGCAGAGAGGTCCAATCCCAGCCCACAAATGCTGATCTTGGATCTTCTGAGCATATATTTAGACTATAATAATGCCTGCAAAGCACTGGAGACAAGGACACAGAACTGTTTCTATAATTGTTTATTGCTGCTTCAAGAGTCAGGCTAAAAAGAGATCAGAATGGTACTTTTCTGAACAAAGGTTTGGAAATGGGAAACTGTAAGACCTTTTACTGTCTAAGTCTATGGACCCTATATGCTGTTAATGCTGAAGAGAGACACACAAAGCTCCTTCAGAGCATGCTGGCAGAAAGGCTGCCCTTCCAGAGGACAACTCTACCCTATGCAACAGCACTGGGCTTGCTGACCTCTGGAAAGGGCATTTGGAGACAGTGCTGTGGTTGCAAGAGGACTGCCCAGCACACACCCCACTTCAGTGACTCCAAATTAGCCACCAGGCTCTCTACGGCAAGCAGTTTGGCATAGATCTGTGGGACTGGAAATTGTATGGGTGGGCACAGGGCAGGGACAGAATAAGGAAAGCATAAAAGTGGCTTAGAACAACTGTTCCAACTGTTCCCCGCTCCTTTCCCATGCCCAGTAGAGTGATGGGTATAGAAATAGCAGTCCTTCACCGACCTGCTTCACAGGCATGTGCTTGGAAGCTCTCAGTTTACAGAAGAAACACAGAAAGGCCAAGCTTTGTAACACAGCTTCTTTTAAATGCCTGAGATACTGCTACAGAGATATTATTAAAAGATTGCTATGGGCAGCTGATAATTTAAGAAGAATCAGCTTCCAAAAAATCTGAGTTTCTTGTCCTATGATAAGCCGCATGACCAGGCATGTCATTCTGTAAGCGGGGTGGGGGAGAAGAGTTTAGCAGTGTGGGAAAGAGAGGGTCAAGTCTACATAATCTATTTGTTTGTTTTCCTGCTTGAACAACAGGGCTGCGGAATGACACAGAATCAAACAGCTACAAATATAACCGAGAGTTATTCTGCTGAGTACAAATATAAAAATATAGAAGCAATTCCAATACCTGAAAAGTTTGGGATGCAGGTCCTATAAGAGATTTGTGAACAAACTTCTCTGAGGTTTCGTAAAAAGATAGTCAGCATTTGGTGCAAGAAAATTTTTGTCTTCTAAACTATTTTATGAGAGCTAACAATAAGCTCTCTCCAGTTGTGGCAACTGAAGACACACCCAAATAAGAACTGAACTTCACTCCAAAAAATGGGCATCACCTTGTTATTCCATGCTACTTGGCTGTGAGCCTACTATTCATCCAACATTTCCCAAGCAGCATCCCCTATCCCACTGCTGAGTGTCTCTCAGTAGGGCAACACCTAGAAGAACCAGTAAGAACCTATCTCTACTAGTATGAAGTGAGGAAGGTAATGCTGCTCCATGAATTCACAGCATGCTCAAGACAGGTTTTGGCCAGGACTTTAATGAGAATGGCAAGTATTCTGCTGTACAACTTATGGGATGCTGTCACAGAGAGGCTCTGTGATGCTGCAGCTGCTGAGGACTTGGTACTTGCAGGTGTGCACTTTGCCTACAACTTACTTGACGCAGGAACCCGGGCTTGGATATTTCCTGCTTTCTCAGCTATTTTAAGAGAGGGGAGGTAGTCACATGTGGTTTTCTTACAAGCTCTCTTTCAGTACTTGACTTCTTGGGGCCCAGTCCTGTTTGCACTGGAATGAATGAGCTTTCTGTCATTGACCCCAGTTTAACCCCTGACAATTCATTATGGACCTGACTGCTATTGTAGCGAGGCATCTTGTGATCTAAATTTTATTTTTAAAAATTACTTATCCATATATTTTGGAGCACGCTTCTAAGGTAGGAAAGTTCCCTAATTATTTTACAATACAGAGAACTAAGATACAGAAGGAGGATGGGCTGGGAATGCAAAATACGTCAGGTGTCTACAAAGCTGACTGCAAGTATCTATATGAGAACTGATTTCCTCAGTAAAGCGGGGTATGCTGAGCAAGCCATGCCACATATACCCTGATGTGCTGAGCTGCCTGGCACACAAACCTACCTTTGTTTTCCTAGGTAGGCACTGTTTACTCAGCCTTCTTCCCTAATGGGGCCCAATTCAGTCTCCGATAACCTTTAACCTGTTTGAGGAGGAAATGACACTGCCAATCACTTCCACACATCAGTCTAAAGGTTACAGGTCTTGCCAAAATGTATAAACCCAGCCATGAAGTCTTTAGCTGCCTGGTTTGGATCAGCAATTTAAACCTCAATAAGTATGCCAATGAGTATGAGATTGCAGTTTTCCTGCTACATTAATGCATGCATCTGTTTGCTGGGTGGGAACAGAAGAGTGACTCCACAGCTGATGGCTCAGGCACATATCTAGGGGTCATAGCTCCCAGGAGCAGGGAAGTCTGTAGGGTCAGCAGGTCCTCTCTCAGCATGCCAGCTTCCAGGAATCACACTCCTAGTGCTGAATTGTGACTTGGCCACCAGGGAAGCTGGGGATCCTGATGCAGTATAAGGGACTCCTTTGGGCAACAAGGCTCTTGAAAGCCAGTCTTGTGATGATCTGCACTTGGACACATAAATTCCTTTCACTGTGCTTACCAACACCTCCTGCTTTGTGTCAGATGGTCTTGGATCACAAAAATCCAACCATCCACTGTATGGGTAGAGGAACTGGTGCCTTCTTGGGTCTTCCTTTGCGACAGACCTGGGACCTGCCCTTAGCTTATAACTGTACCCACAAAGACAAAAACATCCCTGTATTCAGTAGCCTATATGCAATCTATAGTTTTTGTCCTACATTATGTGCCTGACGTCACATAGGAAATCTACATTGGCAGAGAACTGGGACACATCATCTGAGTACCTCCCTGGAAGTCTACTCACTGGGAGAAATTTCCTTTCAGTGGGAACAAGATGGGACATTTGAGAAGCAATTTAATTAGCTTCTTTGAAACAATCAAAGTTTTTGAAATATTTGGCCTGTAGCTGATTAAGCTTCTTGCCATGGCCGTAGCTGCTGTGTTATGTCTAAATTCCATGTGGAAATCAGTCATGACTAAACAAGTCCCTATCTCACGTTTTTACAAGCTATTCAAAGAAAGGCTCTATGTACCATAAAGAATTATCTGGAAGGCACATTGTTTTTTATCCTGTTGGTTTGACTGCAACTTCATTAATGCTAATCTACCTCAGTACAACTACAGGCTTCTGTAGTTACCTTTGATGACAGTGGTAAGGGCAGCAGCTCCCATTGTTTGCAAGAAGAAGAGCTACTAGGAAAAAACATGTAGCTGAGTTCTAGCAAATAATTTATTTTTTCCGGAAAAAATACAGGAAATGAGGGTTAGCTGGCAGGAGGGATGGGAGAGGAGGGCATACAAATAAATACTATTTCAGTAAGATTGTTAAAGAAAGTAAACCCAGGTAATTTCCTCTAATTCTGTTGAAAATAAATGATCTGGATTTTGTTTTGTTTCAAAACAGTGCTGTTGGGGAGAGATAAGCACAGTGAGAGAGCAGTTTTTCAATCACAGACACCTCCAGAATGCAGACATGCTGTCCCTTTAAATCTTACAAGCTTTAATGCTCCCAAGTGCTGGAGGGATATTCTGCAACATGGAGTTTCAGGCAAAATTCCTAACTGAAACTGATCTGCTTCACAGGCAGGAAAAGTAGTTGTTTATATTTAAATATCTTTCTCTGGGCAGTTGAAATGTGTTTTCAAAAATCAAGCTACAATAGAAGCCATTAAAAACCCCTAACATTTTCCAACCGCACACAATTGCCCCAAATAATTCCTATTCAAATTCAGGGAAAAATTATGGTAAAACTTCTGATACTATGATGAGGTCAGCTGTTGGCAAGTGCTAGTATTTTAATGACAACCATAATAGTAATTCATTAGCACCACTAGAACAAGCAGATTTAGCTGATGTGGAGTGGATTGGTCAACATTTTACTTACCTGAAACAAATTCTTATATTAAATGAGAGTTAGGAATGGTGACTTACCAGCTCTAAGAACCTCCTCACCACCTGTCTTTGTTTTAAGTTAGTTTCACCATCCAGGTTAGCTGTTTCTATATGGCACAGCCCATCGGGATCACTTGAGGAGAGCAGCAGTATGTCAGCAGGTATAATTTCATTACAGCGAAGCTGCACAAAGTCTCCAACTTTCACTTCTTTCCAGTATCTGCTTATATATTTCTTCTCATTCCTGAAAAAAAAATAAATATTTATATATATATTTACAGGACATATATAAAAATAAAAAGCACAGACTGGGGTGCTTCCAATAAGATCTGGTTTGATTCGTAACAGGAATACAGTGCCTTTGAAAAGTCCTCAGGTACTCTCAAGTTACGCTGGGAAAAGGTGATGCACACTGCTAGCAGGCCACTTCCCACCAACTTAGAACCAGGTCTGAGTTCCCAAGACACTCTTTAAAGTCCAGAGGACCACATGTGGATGTTAAACCTGGCTAAGTAGGGTAAGCAGGAGATTCACACACTCTCCTTTCCCTCCCTCCATGCTCCGAGCCATCTGTCTGACCCCATAAAGAAGAGGGGGCTGCTGTCTGTACCAGGTGAAAAGGAGTCACTTTCAGGGCAAGGGGGGAACTGACAACAGACTTGGGTGGAGGGCACCTGCTTGGTATAGCTCCTGAACATCCTCCATCACACAACACCCTCTGATGCACCCTCAGATAGCTTCCCCTTGTTTCCTCTTTCCAACAGGGACAAACTCTGTATAGCGCTGCATGTGATATTTGGACAAATTAGCTAAGAATCCCTAAGTGAAAGGCATTTCCACTGTCTATTACTAAACCTAGAATTACAAGGACACACCATGTGGAAAAACGCAGTTCCAACTGCTCTACTGGGAAAGGACACTGTCATTTATTTTAAATATTTCTGCAGTATCTCCATTCCAGCCATAGAGCCACCTGTTACATAAGCTAATTTCTGCTTAGTTACACTGAACCTTTTATTTTGGAGTGTAATTTCTTTGTCAGTTCAAAGACTTACCCAACAGTGATGTGTATGTTGTTTATTTAAATACAGCCACTAAGCTTCTCTAGTTTTAAAGGTCATGCTAGTTTGCTATTTTTTTTCTCTTGAGAGCAAAAGGAAAAAGGAATGGGTGATTGCTTAATTAATTCTAGCTAAAATTCAAGATTTTAGTTTAATGACACGCACAGACTCGTGTGCTTTCTTGGCATTTGTGTAAATTGCTTTCTTATGTTTTTGAAATAAATTAATTTCAGAACAGCCACAATATTAACTTGGTAAAGTACTTTCTGAAAATGGGAAGCTGCTATTTTGACACTTTTCTAAGCTGTCAGAAGGCCCTTTGCTGTGCAAGCACCGAGATGGCCGCCAGTGCTGGCACTGTCACTGTCACTGTCACCAGAGACAGACTTCAGTGACTTTAACTGGCAGAATGGGATTCTGATAGGGGGTGGTGGCAGCTATTTTATGTTCTTTAAAGTACAGTATTTTAAAATACATCTTTTCAGTAGTAATGTGAATAGATTTGTAACCCAATGGAAGCACGCAAGTTCTGCCAGTGTTGTTACTTTGGCGTTACTGATAGTCATGCCGTGCCTAATTCATCCTTGTCATACCTTCACCGATGTTACAGGAATTAGTAACTTAATTGGCTTTTATGCATGTATTTAGCCTAAATCCTGAACAATTATGTGTCAGGTAGCACAACAAGGATGTATCAGATCAGGTTTTACCTCCCAGAATTCCTTCATTATCCTTTCCTAACATCCAATTTATAAAGGGAGGAATGAAAATTATGGCTATGATTTCTACCTTGATAAAGCCTGAAAAGGATTAGTAAGTCAAGTGTAAAACATGGTAGTCTATCAAGGGCAGGTAATGTACATACTAGGTGCTGAAATTACTGATTCCCTCACACTCAGGCTGAAACCAACATTTAACTTTTCCTGCTAATGAGTATGAATTGCTTTGAAACCCAGCGTGCCATAAAGTAGTACAAATCACTGCACTGCCGATCTGAAGGAGTTGTAAGCCATGCAGTCTGTAACTTCAGATCCCTTCACATACAGCCGTTGCTCTTCATCCTTTTTAATTGAACTGTGAAACTGGGTGTTGATCAAATGCATGTACAGTAAGTAGCAGTATAGAAGTATGATCAGGCTAAAAATAGCAAGTAGTCCCATACTATGCTATAGGCACTACAATTTTTTATCTAACTTCTATTTGAAAAGCATTGATATTTTAGCATTTTCTCATCTCTCACATGCTTAGCAACTGCCACAACTATATATGCAGTGGCAGGAAGGGTGGACAAGGCCAAATGGCTCTGCTGGGACAAATTAAGTTTTTCAGCCTGGAGAAGAAGGCTGTGGGGAGACCTTATTGCAGCCTTTCAGTATATAAAGGGGGCTTAAAAGAAAGACAGACAGAGGTTTTTTACCAGGGCCTGTAGTGGCAGGACAAGGGGTAATGGCTTTAAACTGAAAGAGGGGAGGTTTAAATGAGACATAAGAAAGAATTTTTTTATGATGAGGGTGGTGGGACCCTGGCATAGGTTGCCTAGAGAAGCTGTGGTGGATGCCCCATCACTGGAATTGTTCAAGGTCAGGTTGGACGGGGCTTTGAGCAACCTGGTCTAGTGAAAGATGTCCTTGCTCATGTCAGAGGGATTGGTCTAGGGGATTTTTAAAGGTCCCTTCCAACCCAAAGCATTCTGTGATTCTATGATTCTATGAATGCAAGACCTGCACACACACAGACCCTGGGGCAAACCCCCCCTTTATCAGACACAAGGGAACAATATGGCCCAGTATTCCACTTGATCAGATCTCTGCTAACAAGGGCCACTAGTGGGTGGAAGATTACTGTTTGCATGGAAAATTACTTCCTCATCCTCCTCAGCCAGGATTGCTCGGTGTCTTCTAGCACAGCTCTGACTTGTCTCATCACAGCCTGGGGTGTATTAGAAGGGGTGTGGTTAGTAGGTCAAGAGACATTCTCCTCCCCCTCTACTCTGCCCTGGTGAGGCCACATCTGGAATATTGTGTCCAGTTCTTGGCCCCACAGTTCAAGAAAGACAGGGAACTGCCTGAGAGAGTCCAGTGCAGAGCCACTCCAGTGGAGCATCTCCCTTATGAGGAAAGGCTGAGAGAGCTGGGGCTCTTTAGCTTGGAGAAGAGGAGACTGAGAGGTGACCTAATTAATGTTTATAAGTATGTAAAGAGCGAATGTCAGGAGGATGGAGCCAGGCTCTTCTCAGTGATGCCCAATGATAGGACAAGGGGCAGTGGGTGTAAGCGGGAACACAGAAGGTTCTGCTTAAACTTCAGAAGAAACTTCTTTACAGTGAGGGTAACAGAGCACTGGGACAGGCTGCCCAGGGAGGTTGTGGAGTCTCCTTCTCTGGAGACATTCAAAACCCGCCTGGACGCCTTCCTGTGTAAAATTGTTTAGGTTCCTGCTCCGGCAGGGGTGTTGGACTAGATGATCTTTCGAGGTCCCTTCCAATCCCTAATATTCTGTGATTCTGTGAGTGGCCACTGCAAGTATTCTCTGCAGAGTATGGCACAATACTGTCTTCAGATGGGATGGTTCAGATAACTAGATGCCCTATAAATACATCAGTCCTTTAGGAGCATTCCCTTCACATGCTTAGCCTACTCTTCTGAACATGCAGGTTAGCTCACCTTGAGACAACTGTCACACCTCTAGCCAGTACAAACACACCAAGTGACCTTGTTGATAGAGTTACACTTTTGCCATTGACTGCTGCAGAGACAGGACTTTGTCATCCAATGTTTATTCTTGCTGTCACATTGTGCCAATAAATGGCAGAAGTTATAGGATATAGAGAGTAAGGAATGCCATACTTCTTACAAGTGAAAGGCTGTCTTTAAAATTTAAGCTCTCTTTTGTGTTTGTAAGGTGTGGCACACAAAAATACTTGATTTAAATTTTATTTGAAGTTCAGGGATTTGAGCAGTTTTGCCTCAGGGTGTCCTCACAGACATTATTCTTCCATTCCCTGTTTGGAAGGGGCCCCTTCCATGTCTCTAATGATGCACACTGCATTGGCCTGCTGTGATAGAAAACATGAATTAAACACAGTGTATCCGTATGTGTATCATTACACGTTTGGTGTCGTTTTCAAATGGTTTGATACACTTTTCATCTTCAGAGCAAACATAAAATTTAAGCAGATGCTTCATCTGAGCTCTCCACAGTAATAGCCAGGTTTGGAGGACACCCACAGTTCAACATACAGGACTGCAATGAACATCTGATCCCAGGGACCACCTCCTTGCACCTGCAGGCATTTAGGTAATGGAGACCACACCCTCTGCACTCCTACAGAACATCAACTAAATGCAGCAATTTGGGTACTCTTTACTGATCCAACAGTCAGCATTATTTTTCCTGGCAGAGTCCTGTCTGTCCATTTATCTGGTAGGTGCTCCTGAAAGCCCTTCCTCTCCCTGGTCTTTAGTATCATAAAATGATCTGCAGATTTTGCTGTCTTTCCTTTTATAATTAACCAGCTGATAAATTAATGTTTTTAACATGGGTGCGTTGGTCTATTTCTCTGGGACCTTGCTCTTTATTCTTGCTTTGTCCTGACTCCATCACTACTGTGTGGTCAATGACAGTCCTCTGCAGTCTCAGCACAGGGCTTCAGGTACTGCTTGCAAGGGGCTCTTCAACAAAAGCTTTTGACTCTTCAACAAAAGGTTTAAGTAAGTGTCATACAATCTCCTGGCGTATTTTGTTGGAGGGCTCAAAGAATTCTGGCCGGAACACAGGACTGGGAGGCAGCAGCTCAGTTAGTGGGTCCAGTCCCCTCCCACAGTTACATAAGACCCTGCCATGGATATTTAGGACAGAAGCCAACACCCCACAATTCCAGTTCTACCTGCCCTCGCTTATCACAAGCGTGAAGATATGTTTTAGTACCTATGACAAACTTAAGTTGATGCTACAAGAGGCCAAAGCTGCAAACTGTGCTGAACCATAGGAAGAGATCAGAGATACTAATTCTTATCTTTCAGATCTGGAGAGTTAGATAAAAGTCTTTCAAATCAATGTGCTGTCATGAACTGCTGCCATTCCACAAAAAGAATAGATGCTGTTGGTACTCTCCAGTTAAATCACCATGATGAACTGTTAATTTCAAACAGCTATGACCAGCTACTGTACTGTGTTATGTTGG